AGCACGGCGTCACAAAGGAAGGGGTGATTAACACTGTAAAATACACGAAAAGAATATTGTACTGTCTGTATTATTTTTCACAGACTCACCCAGTGCCAGGGCTGAAAGGAATCATAGCCGTAATTTAACACGTGCGTGCGTGCACACACACACATGCACACACATGCCCTGAATCACCAAATGGAGTAGTGTCGAAGGAGATAACCTCTGGAAGATCCCTTTAAGCTCTCAATTTAACTTTCCAGCATACAAAGCAATGCTATAGTGCACTGTCGAGACCATAAGCCAATCATGAAAAGAGATTAGTAGCAACTGGATTGCTAGCTGATTTTTAATTCCACTCAGACACAGAGAGGGAGCTTGTTTTCCGAAGGCCCGGGAACCTCTGGAAGGCTCAGAGCCCTTGAGCCTGAATGATATTGCACGGAAATCACTTTAAGAGACAATGCCCCAAAGGCCACAGAGTTGCTTTCGCAGAAAACACGTCCTTTCCTCAGGATACCATGTTCCAAAGGACTCGAGCGCCCCAACGCGCCGATGCACACAGGCCAAGCCAGAGAAGTGACGTGGCATGCGGGGGAACAGCATCTCCACCTGCGGAGATTCTGTGTCTCCCACACGAGCCGGAGGGGCTTGCGTCTGATGGTCTACATCAGCCATGACGGTTTCCTCCTAAAACATTCAAGCTGCTTGCACGACTGTGCCTTTGTTTCTGGAAAGCGGAGATTTCCTCCCTGCTCCAGGGCTGTGGACTGTCTTCGTGAGGCCCAGGAACACCCAGAGCTGCCCGTGAGCTGCGTGTGAGGGGATCCCCAGCTCTTCCTAGGTTCTCAAGGACGACGGTGAGCCACAGGAGTCAAAGAACATATCCGTCCTTGCACGTGTGTATTAAATGTTAACCCACTGCCCCAGGTGTGTGTGTGTGTGTGTGTGTGTGTGTGCTTATATGTGTGTCCTCACACGCCAGAAACCTCCAGAGGATAGGACACTCGGTAACAAGCTTCTCCTTTTTACTTCCACGTTAAAAAAAAAAAAAAAAATTAACAAAATGTCATCCCCAGGACATATAAAACTGAGCCAGCAAAGACAAAAAAACTTCAAAAAAAAATCAATTATCCTTTTAGTCATTGTGAAAAGTCTATCTTCAAGCCCAGAGTCTCGGGGAATGTCAAAGCTCTAGTTAAATTTTTAATAAAGTATAACGGATAGCGTTAAAAAAGAGACCTTTTCAAAGGTCAGTTGGCGACAGAGAAGCTCTCAGTATGGTTTCCATCAAAGGGCAGGAAGCTGGACAGGAGTTAGCAGCCCGAGGCTCCAGGGATGGGCCCCGGGGGGGACTCGTCTACTTGCAGTTAGACCCTGGTGATGTCGTCGGTGCCAGGGCTTGCAACGACACCTACATGCCATCGATTCACAGCTGGTCTGAACTTCTCTCTGCCGCCCAGACTCTGGTCCTGTCTCCCAATTTGTACGTGCAACTATCTGATCGGTGTCTCCACTTGAATGTCTGCCGACAGCCAAACCTCGCCATCCAAAGCCGAGTTGTTGAAGTGCCCTTCTAAAACCTGCCCCCGTGGGGTTTTCCCCATCCCAGCTGGTGGCGACTCCATGCTTGCAGCCGGTCAGCCCTGAAACATCGGGGTCCTTCCTGGCTCCCGTCTTTGTCCACACTCCCTGTCTGCTGCATCAGCAAACCCCACGGCTCTACCCTGAGTGGACGCGAAGATGGGGGCCCTTGTCAGTGCCTCTGGCACACCCGTCTTAGTCTCAGCCACCTCTGTTTGCAGCTCGCATTCCTACTGTGGCCTCTGCCCGGTCTCCCCGCAGCTGCCCTCGCCCCTCCTGTGTCCAGTCTGAATTCAGTGCCTAGAGAGCAGCTTGGGAAGCACAATTCAAATCATATGCCTCTCTGCTCAAAACCCTGGGGTGGCCCATCTCCTAGAGTAAAAAGGAAAATCCTTACAATGCCTGTGAGTTCCACCTGGGGCAGGGCTGACCTCTCTGTCCTCACTTTGTGCCTGTTCCTCCCACTGACCCTACTCCTACTCCATGCTGGACTCCTGGCTACTCCTCAGGGGTCCAGATGGGCCTCTGCCTCAGGGCCCTTGCACTGGACGCTACCTCTGCCTGGAACATTCACTCTGCCCCAGAGAGCCGCATGTCTGACTCAAATGCAAGGTCTCAGTGAGACCCACCCTGACCACTCTATTTAAAATTGCACCTCCTTTCTGTAACACCTTAGCATCTCGTCAGCCCTGCTGGACTTGTCCATTCTTTATAGCCCCAACCGCCTTCAAACATAACATATAATCCACTTACTACTATTATGTTCATTGTCTATCCCCCTGCTATAATGTTAGTTACGGGAGGCTAGGGATCTTGGTCTGTTTTATGACTGATATAACTCAAGTACCTAGAATTCATTACTAAAATGCAATTAATAAAAGGCAAGACTGGGGAAGAAATTTACCCTCAAACTTCTCGATCCAGCAAGCTAGATGCTCCCCAGGTCATGGACCATTACACTGGGCTTCTGATGAAGCCAAATCAGCTGAGGTTCCTACGAGCCATTCAACCCTCATTTCAAAAGACACTTCCACATTCACCATAATAGGGACACAGGTTGAACATGAACTTGGGAATGCCAAGGATCCAGAAGAAGGTCTATTGTCAGGGAAGAAGCAACCTTTGAATTCGTGCTGATTGTGGATCATCAAATGTTGGTGTCACCCCATGCACCTTCCTGCTAACACATTTTTGTTTCTGGCCTTAATCCAAGCTCTCGCTGAAGTCAATAAACATTTAAAGATGTGAACTCTGACTCTCCCTAACCTTCTGTCAAAATGAGTGAGGACACAGTCCCAGTTGAGTCCATGGGAACACAGAAGGGCAGAGGCAGGTAGGAGATAGGAAGGGCTTCATCAGAGGAAAGTTTATTCCTGGCTTCTCAAAGCCCCGTGCTATGAAATCTGGATTTTAGAACTTTTGTATTCTTCAGGGAGACAGAGAATCACAACAGGATACCTCAAGCCAGTATAGTTATCTTATGTGACTGTAAACCCAATGGACAGATCTTTATTCATTTTTTTTTCTTTATTCATTTTCAACTAGTTAGAGAAACCTTGAGGGCCAGAAAGATCGCTACTATTATGACTGAAAAGACAGGTAAGTACCTTTTTTCTCTACTGAGTAGGATTTAACAGGTTGAAGGCGACTGTGGAGGTTTTTCAAGCTGTCCTCTGCCAAGCCCTAGGTCTTCCAGTGAGCTTGCTAAGAGTCTGGGGGTGAATGTGGCCAGACACTTCCACCAGCACAAACCTGCTGTGGTTAGCTTTGTGCGCTGGGGTCCCCCATAAGACTCTGTCTCAAGGAATACTGAATAGAAAGCTTTAGAAAAACCAGAGAGTCTGTCCACGACCCAATGGGAGAGAGCCAACAGGGAAATGAGAGAAACATGCTGAAGAAAAACTGGGGGGCAAACCAGTCTATACAATCGCATGACAGAAATTCATAAGACCAGGATACAAATAATAAGGACTGTGCTTCTCATCTAAGGGAAGACCTGAGCTTTATTGTTTGGAAATGGAGGGCCTGGGTGGCTCAGTTGGTTGTGCAGCTGGCTCAGGTCATGATCTTGGGGTCCTGGGATCGAGCCCCACATCAGGCTCTGTGCTCAGCGCAGAGTCTGCTTGTCCCTCTCCATCTGCCCCTCCCCCTGCTCACGCACACTCTCTCTCTAAAATAACTAAATGGACAAAATCTTTTTAAAAAAGCAATTGGAAACACAGTGTTCTAGACAGGTTTAGTATGTACTGGAATATATAACATATCAAAATTTTCATTCTTAAAAAATGACCCCCCAAAAAAAAAGTACTCATTGTACAAGCAGAAGGACACTGAGTTACCCAGAGGGGAATAAGTTCCCCCTTTGGCCATGGCCTTAGACCCCCTGCAATACTGAAGCCAGAGGGTCATGGAGCAACATCTACAAGAGCTTCGAAGAGAAGAACGTGCCTCTAGTCACTGCCCCATAACGGGGTGATGGGTTTGGCATTATGAACGGTGCAAAGGGCTCAGATAATATCTGTATCACCCGGGGACACTCCCTCAGTGAGGTTATTCCTAGAACTTGAGTTCCAGCACAACCAATGATGGATCAGAACGTTGAAGAACTCAAGCCTGAGGAAGTCACAGCCGGAAGGGAGAACAGGATTATTATTAATGCTAATTACTGTTACCATTTTCCAAGTGCTCATGTGGCCCAAGTTCTGCACCAAAATCTGTGTATGTGTGTGCACACGCGCGCTACAGCATCTCATTTAAGGATCGAAATAAATGTAATTCATTTTGCAAATGATATCCTGCTTCTCTCAGTAGTAGCTTTGTGCCCGTTTCACAGACGAGAAAACCAAGGCTCAGAGAGCTCAGGTAACTTGTCCACATACATGAGCAAGTAAGTGGCTGAGCTGGAATTCCAAGATGTGACCCAAGGAGTTCCTCAGGTTCCCTCAATTTATTTTTTTAAGAATATCTTTATTCTTTTTTATGCATATCTGTGTTTTCTTGTCACTCTAAATGAAGCATAATATTATTTTTGAAATAGAACGCCAACACATTTTGTTCAATTAAAACAAATCCAGAGACACAAAACAAATTACTGCAGCATGCTAAAAAGGATAGAGCTGGCAAGGGCATTTCAGACCGGTGTCCCACAGGAAGGAAGCAGGTAAGGTGACCACCAGTGCTGAACTGTACAGAACTCAGTATTTTAAAAGGGCGTTACGCAGAACCAGAGACATCCCGCACTTACACAAGCTGCACCCCATAGTGATAATGCAAGTTAAAAATAAAGTCAAGGAAGATTTGCATTCTGTCCCTGTGCCCCTCAACAAAAGGACCCACATCACCACTGTCGGCGCCCCTCTTCTGGCCAGACAGCTGAGCTGACCGCAACTTTCCCTTTGGGCCGGTAGCCGGACCATGTTGCGGCAGGACCTCACCTGGAATGTTGTGGATGGTGATGGCCAAGATGAGCAGGGTGATCCTCCTCCAGCTGCTGCTTCCAGGCTGCGCCGGGTTCCCTCGAGGAGGCACTGGGGCGGCAGGGCCCTCGGCAAGGCCCGTGGCCACCGCCTTCTTCCTCTGATAGGCCTCGCCGTTCTCGCTCTTGTCTGAGCAAAGACAGAGGGACAGGGAGAGACAGTACTTTGAAAATGTGCACACTGGCTTGGGTAAGCAGCAGCAGGGGGATGTTTTCCACCCTGGGAAAGGGTCTCCTCCCTAACTTCCTACTGGACCCCATGTTCTTCTGTTTCTTTCTTCCTCCCTCCCTCCCTTCGCTTACTTGCTCACTCGTTCGGCAAATACTCACTGAGTAGACACTCAGTGCCCAATGTACAGGGCCGGGAAGGGATAAAAAAGATGAAACTGGGGGTGCCCTAGCAATGCTTATTAGGGAGAAACAATATTGAGCGGTGATTAGGAGCTCAGATTCGGGAGCCAGGCTGCCGGGCTCACTGCTGACTCGTCCACTTATGAGCGGTATGGCATTAAACGAGCTGTTAACACTCTCTGTGCCCTAGATTTCTGAGTCACAGAATGGGATAATAATGGTACCTATCCCACAGGGGTATGCGAGGATTAAATGAGAGGCTCCAGGCAAGGGCTTTGCTGCTAAGTGCGCAGGTGTGGACCGTACTGGCTGTCACGTGTTCTCTCTCTCCCTATGGCATGACACCATAGGTGACCCTGCTCTCCTGGTCACGCTGCCTTATGGGAACCCATCCACATGCCAGGCCCAGCCAATCAGATTCCCTCCCAGGGGACTGGGGAAGGGGACTGGAGTTGGGACAGGCCCTGTGATTCAAGTGCGGATTCTCAATCCAAAAGGTCATGTACGGGCAGCCTGACATCCCACGCAGGACGGGAACAAGGAAGCAACTTGACAGATGATAGAAGGAAGCAGATGCACACAGGTACGCAGAGACGGGAAATGATGCAGCAGGCCAGCCGGCCAGAGGGACACACACACAGACAGACAGATAGACAAATGGCAGCCTGAGTGCTGCAGGACGTTCTGGCGCTCATGGGCTGACTATGGTACCCGGCCACTGGATTTCATGAGCTAACCAGCTAACCTTCCTTTCAAACCTTCCCCTTGGGGATATATTTGAAGGGTGTCATTTCATAGGCCAAGAGGTGATGCCAACTACCCATGGTCTCCTGGGTCAAATGTGCGCATTCCTAACAGAGGGAAATGGCCCGGGTCTGCGGCAGAGCGCCCAGACTGTGGTGGTGCGCAGCATGGGATGCATCTGTGGGAGCGGCGTCCCGAAGGAGCAGAGTCTTGAGCAAATCGCAGACATGTGGGTGCAGGAATGCAAAGGAGAGTCTCTCTACCATGAGTGAACACAAGGACCTACAAGTCATAACTCAGAGGTCATGGACAGGACACCCAAACGTGTTTGTAGGCTCCTCATCATGAGCAGGGTGACCATACCTCCCAGGATGGGCTCGCTTATGCATCCCGGGGGGACTAGGAGTGTCCCCTTTCACGCTCAAAGCGTCCTGGTTTGGACAGTAAACAGTGTGGCTTCTCTGGCTTCAGGAAACAGCAGAAGCTTGAAGGATACTCGGCTGTGCTGGGGGCCATCGCTCGCTGAGGTCAGTGGTCATCAACTTGAAGGGTAGGAGGGATTCTTTGTAGTGGTTCTGCTTCCCTTCTCTGTAAATTTTCCATAAGCAAAGGAAATCTCATCTCTAAGCTGAAAGTTGCAGAAAATGTTTCCCAAAGTCAAATTAAGAGACAACGGGCAACCATAAGGACCCTTTTGGCCATGACCGTGGGCCTCTGGCGGCGCCTCTCCTTACTTCTTTGGTGTAAAGCAAGGTGGGGTCGTTCATCTTACCCTCTCAGGGGCTTCACTTAAAGACCAGAATCTCGCTACATAAACTTGGTCGGGTCTTTGATGCCCTTTTTGGATGAACCCGCCTAAGTGAACATTGCTTTCTATTTCCAAAACAGGAACAAAATAAAAATAAAAAACAAAGCCAAAACACTTCGTTTGAAAATCATGTTGTGTTTGTTCACTCAAATCCAGCAGGTCAGCTTGAGGAGGAAGCAAGTGCCAAAGGCAGGCAGACTCAGGCTTCCCCAGGCCCTGACCTGTTCTCTCTCATAACAGCCAAATCTCAGGCTCCGGAGGGAGAAGAGGCCTTCTGTGGATCCTCCAAAATGCAGGAATACCAGCCCCCAAGCGTCAGCGGCCACAGCACACATAACTGGTCTCCGGGGACTGCTGCTGTCTCTGCTGGAAAGCGACACGTCCCAGACGCTATCTGCATGAGGTGTAGCTAAACACACTCACTGTGTGGTCTCCACATCATGTGTGTGTTCATGTGTGTGATGATGTACACACACACACAAGCACAGGACTGTCACTTGGTACCTCACAGATCACACAGCCTTTGTGCACGTATGCACACCTGTTTCTCAACACCCAGAGGGTGTCAACTTTTAAGCTGACAATACTTGACAACTCAGGCTGCAGAGGCTGGGCAGAAAACTGAGTAAACATCTGGGACCTCAAGTCCATGAACACTGAAGATGCAAGCAAAGCAGGCCCGAGTGCTGTCCAGGAACTAAGCCACATGGTGGTGGGGGGCGGGAGGGGGGGCACTCGCCTTCCTCCTGGACTAGTCCGAAAATACCACCAGTTCACTGGGCTTCCTTTGAGTACACACACCTGACCCAGCCCTCCAATGGGCGTTGATGGGGCGGTGGGGGTGAGGCAACTCCTCCCTCTGGGATTTTACAATTTAAGAGAGAACAGACAGGGAAGACATGAATAATTCCTTTAAATCCAAAGGCAGAAATGTACACTCTCTGACAATCTCTGAAGCAGGCGCTTATTTTTGCAGGGTCACAAAAGGATCGGACTCTGAATCTCCTGCAAATAATGCACAGAGAGCAACAGGGATGGGGACACCGTTAGGGAATTCCAGCGGCGAATGATCGAGAAGCAGAAAGAGTTGTTAATGGAGGTAAAGCTGCACGGTCCGCCTCGGGGTCCCAGAGTGTGAAAGTGCCTTCCCTAGTGGGACATGGCGGGGGGGGGGGGTGTGAACACCTGATGTGCTTGTTCAAGGTAAATAAGCCACCATTCGGTAACAGCCTCTAATGAGTCTGCAATGACGAAAATTAGTCCAAATAAATCACTACAGAGAGTACGGATGCCTCCTGAGCAATGAATCTTCTTGCCTCCCCCAGCAAGGTGAGTTCAACCACTGCGTGTCAAGAAGCAGAACAACCAGTGCTGTGGGCAAAGGGTGACCACCTCACGGAGGCAACCGCCAAGCCTGGTGTGGGCCACAGTGACAAGACCCTGTGAGACTGGCTGGGAGGGAAAAGGTTCGGGCACTTCTGAAGTAGGATTGGCAAAGAGGAAGGACATTTAGAGATGGAAGAGTCGATGTCAGTTCAGAAATGCAAAATGGTGTCAGTGACATCAACTAATCGGTGGTTCTAACAACTTTTCCTCAATCCTTCCAAAGGCCCCACAAAGCAGAGATCATTCCCTCTAACAAATAAAGAACCTGAAGAGCTGAGAGGTGGAGTTAACTGGTCCCAGGTCATACAACCTGTCCCAGATGGATTCAGGAGGCAAGCCAGGTCTTTGCCTGCAGAGGTGACCTCTTAACCAGAGTCCCGCTGTTGACTTGGGGTGGGCGGTGGAGTGTTGATCTGCTCCTTTGCTCCCCAAGAAGGGCGTGAGAGCTGTCACTGCCGTGACATTTAGGAGCTCGAAATCCCAGATGTTTGGCGTGGAAATGTTCAGGGTGCAGAGAGGGTCTGGTGAGCTTGCATCCTGTGACCCCAGAGGCGGGAAAGGCTCTGTGGAGATCTCCTGTCTATTGTCATTCCCACTCATAGACAAACCTGGAAAGGATGCACAAAAACAGTGCTTCTTAACCCCTTGGCTCTGCTATTTCCAAGTGTAAAGCAGCTGTAAGTAGAAAATAGTTATTAACACCAAGCACGGAACACAGGGTTACAGTTCTTTCAGGAAGGTAAAAGAAAAGACTTCAAAGCTGACCATTATCCAAAGAGCTCTTTTTCTTCTTCTTCTTCTTCTTCTTCTTCTTTTTTTTTTTTTAATTTAGACTCCAGCATCTAAGAATCCACACAAAGGGACTCACTGCTGGGGCTCGGCCTATCGTCCCCCAATTTCATCTTTTCTGGGCAGGCACGGTGTTGCTGCATTTGAGGACCACAGGGGAATAGACAGACCTGGCCAAGGCTCATTCTTCCTGCTGAATCACAGGGTGAACTTATGTGACATTCGCACAATAGCGCATGTGAGTCTCATCCCAGTACATCGTATTATAGGGCAAAGCTGTCCCTGGTGCCGTGGGCACAAGCTAGGGGACCATCACGAACCCGCTTGCGTGGGGAAGACCCATCCTCCTCAGGGTTTGACTTCCTCCCCGGGGAAGCGAAAGGTGCTGAAGTCTCTAGATCAGTGGCTCTAAACCATTGTGTATCAGCAACTGCTTTTGAAAGTACGGTGGAAGCTATGATCCTCTCTCCAACAACAACAAAAATACAATTTTGAAAGAATTTCTGAATCCTTATGGATTCAAGGACCTCAGACCGAGAACATAATGCAAGATGAACGCTATGTTAACCTTTGTTTTCATAACCCATGGGCCCAGTCCCCCAGGGACACAGGATGTTGTCCCTCTGATGATGTAACCAGCCCAATGATGGAACCTCAGTCCCCAGTGAATGTGGCAACACTAATTAACAGATCACCAGCCATGAGAGCTTTAAAAATATCCCCAAGACATCAATGGAAATGATCTGGTTGAATTAGCACAAATAGGCAAATCCTCATCTGCAAAGCACAGAAAACTTCAAACCTCTGGAGAAACAGCTTTTTTCTAAACCCCCACTTACAAAATATAAAACAGAGAGTAGTCAGTGATACATATTCATTACGTACTAGATATGCACAAGCAAGATCAAAAGACCGATCCAAAGCAGGGAGAGAGGATCTATTTACTTATATTTTTCCTTCCTTCTTGTTTCCCAGAGAATCAGAATGATTTGGGGGAAGAAATTTAATTATCATCATGAGTGTGACAAAGCTTGCTAAGAATTTGGTCCTGT